CCCCTGCCCTGGCCCCACCATTCCCTGCCCTGGCCCACACTGTCCCCTGCCCTGGCCCACACCGTCCCCTGCCCTGGCCCACACCAACGTGGCTGCTGGCGTTTCCCTGGGTGACAAGGCAGTGCCCTCAAGAGCTGGGACTGCTGGTGATGGACCCCCGCCCCAGCATGGCAGCTCTGTGAGCTCCGTGGAGTGACGGAAGGACTAGCGCTCTGAGCTGTGCCTGACCCGAGCAGACCGCGTGTCTGTCCCGGGCACGGGCAGTCCCTTCTGTGGGCCACGCCCATCTCAGGACTGAGGGCTGGGAGCTGGCACTCACCCACTTTGAAGTTGGTGGTCTCCAGTGTGGGGCAGGTGAACAGCCGGGGGAAGACCATGTATATGGGCACCGAGAGGCCCCGGCAAACGTCCCCGTCGGCGATCTGAATGTTCTGAATCTCTGTGGCGTCCCGGGCATAGCCTTCTGCACACCCTGGGGGAGGGGCGAGCACCATGTGGTCAGAAAGCAGGACCGTCCAACGAGCTTCCCACAGCGATCAGGACGCCCTGTGACCATGAGAACCTGCGTGGACGCACTCCCCACTCCCCACTCGCCAGGGTTCCCGAGAGTCCCCTCCCTCACAGCCCGTCCTCCGTCCATCACTGGACCCCCCCCTCCCCCTTCCCCCCCGAGGCTCCCGGCAGGAGGCAGCGCAGGGCCCTCACCACAGGTCTCCACGCGGACCAGCTGCAGCTCGATGCTCCGGACGGCGGCCTCCGAGCTCTCCACCACCAGCTCGCCCGTGAGCGGCTGCGTGATGACGCAGTTGGTCGAGTTCAGATGTCCTCGGACCAGGAACTTGGGGAGCAAGGCTCTCTAACACAGGACGAAGACAAGGGCGTCAGGACTGGAAATGACTCCAGTCATTTAGGATAAACAACAACGGGAAACAAAGATGGATAATTTTGTTAAGACCCACGGGACCCTGTTTTACAAAATGGGGAAAAGGTAGACGAGTACTTGCATCTTCTGTCAACTTAACTGACTGCCTGAGTTCCTGCAGATGCGGCCCCGCACGGCCCCGCACAGGCCCTCCGCCACCCTGACTGCAAGGTCAGACGGGAAAGATCCTCACAGAGGAAATGACGTACAAAAGCGTCTGAGAAGTATTTAACTAAACTAGTCACACCCACACGCCAAAAAGTTTAAAAAAATAATTTAAGCCCGGCTGGTCTAGTGTCAACCCAGGAGGTCACAGGTTCGATTCCTGGTCAGGGCACATGCCTAGGTTTTGGGCTTGCTCCCCAGTAGGGGGCGTGCACCTGATTCATGTTTCTCTCTCATCAATGTTTCTTTCTCTAAAAAAAAAAAAAAAATCAATAAAAATATATTTTTTAAAAAGAACTTAAAATGTTCTGTGTAATACAATTTTGAAAAGTTGACACAATTATTTTATTTCAAGAAACGCAGAGAGAACAGTGCTCCTCCGTGCTTGACTGGGAGCCCGTGGGCCTGTCTCTTGTCTCTGGGGGCAGAGGAGACTGGCCCCAGTGGGTGATGATGTGGAAACAGATGAGGAGTCCCACACTGCTGTCGCGCCTTCGCCTCGGGCTGGTCCAGTCGCTGGAGATAATTCAGAGTTAGACCACCGTCCAGCAGAAACGTAACGTGAGCCACACATGTGACCACATACGTAACTTAAATGTTTCCAGTAGCCACATTTTAAAAAGTAAAGGAAACAGGTAAAATTAGCCAATACATCCAAAACAGTATCACGTCCACATACGATCAATATTTGAAAAGTACGACGTTATGTTCTCTTTCTCAGGCTGAGTCTCGGGCACCCAAACTTTCCGCCCGCAGCGCCTCAGCTCAGACCAGCGGTCACCTGTGGCCGGGGCCGTCCTACTGGACAGCACAGGCCTGGGACTGAAGGGCAGGGAGCTGGAAAAAAGTCTTCATTCAAGACCAAGCTCTAAAAATAACTAAAGTAAAAGCAGCTACTTGTTTAGAAAAATAAGCACCAGTAGCACCACATTAAAACTCTTTTAAGCAAATATAATTTTGTTAAAACCCACGGAACCCTGTTTTACAAAATGGGGAAAAGGTAGATGAGTACTTGCATCTTCTGTCAACTTAACTGACTGCCTGAGTTCCTGCAGATGCGGCCCCGCACAGGCCCTCCGCCACCCTGACGGCGAGGTCAGACGGGAAAGCTCCTCACAGAGGAAATGACGTACAAAAGCGTCTGAGAAGTATTTAACTCAACTAGTCACACCCACACGCCAAAAAGTTTAAAAAAACAATTTAAGCCCGGCTGGTCCAGTGTCAACCCAGGAGGTCACAGGTTTGATTCCTGGTCAGGGCACATGCCTAGGTTTTGGGCTTGCTCCCCAGTAGGGGGCGTGCACCTGATTCATGTTTCTCTCTCATCAATGTTTCTTTCTCTAAAAAAAAAAAAAAAAATCAAAAAAAATATATTTTTTAAAAAGAACTTAAAATGTTCTGTGTAATACAATTTTGAAAAGTTGACACAATTATTTTATTTCAAGAAACGCAGAGAGAACAGTGCTCCTCCGTGCTGGACTGGGAGCCCGTGGGCCTGTCTCTTGTCTCTGGGGGCAGAGGAGACTGGCCCCAGTGGGTGATGATGTGGAAACAGATGAGGAGTCCCACACTGCTGTCGCGCCTTCGCCTCGGGCTGGTCCAGTCGCTGGAGATAATTCAGAGTTAGACCACCGTCCAGCAGAAACGTAACGTGAGCCACACATGTGACCACATACGTAACTTAAATGTTTCCAGTAGCCACATTTTAAAAAGTAAAGGAAACAGGTAAAATTAGCCAATACATCCAAAACAGTATCACGTCCACATACAATCAATATTTGAAAAGTACGACGTTATGTTCTCTTTCTCAGGCTGAGTCTCGGGCACCCAAACCTTCCGCCCGCAGCGCCTCAGCTCAGACCAGCGGTCACCTGTGGCCGGGGCCGTCCTACTGGACAGCACAGGCCTGGGACTGAAGGGCAGGGAGCTGGAAAAAAGTCTTCATTCAAGGCCAAGTTCTAAAAATAACTAAAGTAAAAGCAGCTACTTGTTTAGAAAAGTAAGCACCAGTAGCACCACATTAAAACTCTTTTAAGCAAATGAGCAATGAAAACTCTCAAGATCCAGCTGAGGAGCCTCACCAGCGGCCCTCTCCTGGCCCAGCATGATGAACACACAAGTCCAAACAGCCCCCTCCTCCCCCGCCCCCGGCAGAGCCACGGCGCCACCGAGGCCGCCACCAAGGCCACCTCAGGGGGCATTTCTGAGACTGTGGTTGACGATGACGCTCACCAGAGTTCAGGGACTGCGGCCTACAGCTGGCAGAGCGCTGAGAGCGAGCGTGCCCAGGAGGCACGGGCGTCAGACCAGAGGGGGGGCACCCGGGGGCAGGGCAGCCAGGGGAGGCTCCCAGGTAACGCACCAGAGGGTGGGCAACTGGCCTCATGAGCCTCTGACGCTAGCACTTGCCCAGGTGGCCTGCAGCTTCCCTAATGGGGGACTTTCCACCCAGGAGACGCCCAGAGCAGGCTGGGCAAGGAGAGAAATGTCCCAAGGCACTTCGGCCACAGAGCAGGAGCCCGGCGACCCAAAGACAAGCTGCCCGCACACCCTGCCCTGAGAGAAGCTACAGGGCCAGGCCTCCGCCCCCTATAACTCCAAGCTCGGCTCCTCGGCCAGAGCGCGTTTATAACCAGAACAGATTCTCTGGGCCAAGGACAGGGCCTAACAAGACCATACGTCTCAGGGCCTCATCTACAATATAAACTAGTAACCAAGAGTCAATACACACTTGAGGAAAATAAGAGCAAGCAAAGGAGGTACGCACTCTACAGAGAGAACTACCCCCGGGAAACAGCACCCACAGGAGGCGGGGATGATGGCGCTGCATCCGCCATGAAGAAAGGGCAGCGTGGAGGAGGAGTCCTGCGCAGGAAGGAATCGTGGTGGTGAGTAAGCATCCCACCCGGAGCGCTAAATACCACTGACGAGCGATCAGTGAGCGGGGCCTGAGCCCAGAGCTTCTCTGGGATGCGTCCAGGAAATGATATCCGAGACATTCCCAGGACTGAAGGCAGGCTCGGCCTCCCAGTGCAGGGGACCACTGAATGCCAGACACACAGACTAAAGCCAGATCCAGCACAGGGAGGGGAGAGGCTGGGAGTTTGTAGGGAGGAGGGATAAGGGAGAGGGAGAGGGAACAGCAGCTCACACAATGTGAGGACCAGACTGTCATCAGTATCACTGGGCACTAGAAACCCAGGGAACGAACTATTTAAGGGCAAATGACATTAGAGCTGGACTTTTCTACCTAGACTAGGATTCAAGTGTGGGAGCAAGTAAGGGGTTTTCCGGCCACTTGAGGGTTCACGCTCACTCCCCACCCTTTCTGAAAGAAGGACTCCAGGATGTATTCCAGCTAAACGAGAACAAAGTTGAGAAAAGAAGAAAACACAAGGGAGTAGCATCAATGGCGAGCAATGACCATGGTAAAACTTAGTTAACGCTACGGAATGTGACTGTGAAACTTCAGGCGACGACGAAGAACCGGTCTGTAAGCCAAAAAAGACTAACACTGGGAAAAATGAAACTGATGACAACCGGAACGTCGATTTCAAACACAACAAACAAGGCGGAGTGAGGAGAGAAAATGCAAAAACGTTACAAGCCTTCTGTCAGACGGAGCTGAGTCTCAGTGTTATTTAAACTTGTAACGTCCATGTGTATCTGAACATTTAAGGGTAACGACTAGGAGAGGAGAAACAGGATGTTAGAGAAAAAAGGAACAAACAACACTAAGAACAGAAAGAAACAAACACAACCTTAATAAATCAGGAAAAGGAACAATACAATCTACCAGAGCACAGGGCGAGGTGGAAGGAACACAATGGGATGGTCTTCAAATCAGGAAGAATGGTTCCACCCTGTTAGTCGGGCTCGGTGCGCTGACGAGGGACCGCACTGGGCTGCTTTTCTCTCTCTGCTCACCACAGTTCCTCACTCCAGCTGTTACCACGTTTTCTAGCATTTAGATGAGCGGTTCTCAACCTGTGGGTCGCAACCCCTTTGGGGGTTGAACGACCCTTTCACAGGGGTCGCCTAAAACCATCGGAAAACACATATATAATTACATATTGTTTTTGTGATTAATCACTATGCTTTAATTATGTTCAATTTGTAACAATGAAATTGGGGGTCACCACAGCATGAGGAACTGTATTAAAGGGTCACGGCATTAGGAAGGTTGAGAACCGCTGATTTAGATTCTTTACAAGAAACATAGACTTATTCTAACCAACTTAAGAAAAAGTGGGGCTGACTGGGACAGCCCTCGGGAGCTCTCAGGGCAGGTGAGGTGGTAGAGGTGGAGCCGGGCCCATCCCTACCCACTGTCCCCGTGAGTCTCCTCACAAGGTTGCTTCCTGCAGAAGGTCAGTCTGACGGGCCCCTGGAGTCCTGTGCTCCAAAGCAGGTGGTCAGTGGACGTGCCGCCTACCACACGCCCTGCTCCGCTGTGGCTCTGAGGGAGGAGGCCAGCCTCACTCGGGAGCCGTCCCGAGCTTGCCTTCAACCCGACTGATCAACAGGCTGTGGGGTGGGCGCAGGAAGAACAGCTGTGTCCGTGGAGGCGGAGAGACAGGTGGCCACACGCAGGTGGTGGGGACTGGGCTCAGGGAAGAGTCTAACCACAGTGCAAAACTAGGAGAAGATGTAAGAAATGATAAACATATATCCTAGGAAACTTCCCACAAGTATGAGTCTCCTAAGGAGTTTCTGAGTTTAAAAAGAAATCAGAGTAGAACTCCAGACTGTCTGGGGTACAGACGATAATCAGGAATCTCCCTCGGCAGCCAAATGAGGAACCATCGGCAACAGCCTGCCAGTGGGCCCAGGGGCTGAGAAAACAGGGCTGGCCTGGGGTGAGGAGCACGTACCTCTTTGACATTCTGCAAGGTCTCGGGGGTGATGGCGAAGTCCACGGGACTCGGAGTCAGTTTCCCCTTCTGAGGCTGCAGCGGGAGGGAAACCACAATCAGGGCTTGAGGGCCAGGAGTTCTGTGGGTCAGACTTCTTCCCTCTTTAGACACAGGAAGGGCGGCACCAAGAGGCAGGGTACGTGGGCGCTGAACGCACGAGGGAACGAGGCTACCGTGGATGTGGACAGAGGGGGCAGCCGCCGTGTAAGACACAGGGACCCAGGGCTGTGAGCATGACTGTATCACCAGGTGTCACATGGAGGCCAGCGCTGCCCGCCACTGCGAGGTTTGCATGCCCGAGGCACAGCCCCAGCTGCGCCGCAGAGGACTCCTGGCAACTTCCCCGGCGTCTCCTGGTGGGACGGAGGCTCCAGTTCCCGAAGGTGACACGTGAAAGGCATTTGTTAAGAACCTTATGTCACTGCTGAGGACCAGGAGGTGGTAGGAGGGGCGACCCACCCCACCCCGCGTGCCCCTGTGTGTTCTTGCTGGGTCTGCCACGAACGTTAAGGCCCTGATGCTCCACCAGGCTGGGCCATCTGAGCTGTCTGCCGTGCAGCCTGAGGGCTGAGGTGAGTGCCCCCAGGACAAAGGTGAGACCCCCCCAGCGTGGTCACTGCTGCTAACAGAGGTGGGTCCCCTGCTGGGACTCCTCAACGGGGCACAAACCCCCCAGGTGCAGCGCCATGCGAGGCCATGCACCACCCAGGGGACGCCGGGCGCAGGGAGCGACACCACGCGGGTGCTCGTCAGTGACAGGCTGACTCCTCACTGGGAGCAGTGAGCCCGGCAGGGCCCGCGGCCGCTCACCGCCGAGTGCACGATGAACTCGCAGGTCTTGGTCAGGTCTTTGGCCAGCAGCGACCGCTTCATGTCACAGCGCAGGGTGTACTGGATGGAAACGGGGAAGAAAACGGCATTCAGCGTCATTTGTTTCCATCTTAGAATGTTCAAGGAGACAAGTCAGTGTTTCAGGGAAACGTAGTCTAATAAATGTGTATCTGAAATCAATATACACAGAAGGGTGAGTTAATGCTCAAAATGAAGGCATTTCTCTATTTAAAAACACACGTTAAGGTTACTCCTCAGCCGACTCCCACAGCCATCCTGTGGACGGACCCACGGAACAGGGGTGCAGGGTCCCGCCCACAGCACAGAGCAAGGCCGAGTGGAGGGTGAGGAGGAGCAGGCACTGAGAGCAGAAGCCAGTGATATCTGCAAGGGCAGACGGTGGGCCGCAGCCACCTGCTGGCAGCCAGCTGTGCCACACAGGGGAGACCTGGCCTCGACGCTCCTGGGAGTCGCTAGTTCTTTGATCCATATCCCTATTTGGCTAAGTCAGCTTGAGTTGGATTTCTATAACTTGCAAATAAAAGGGTGTGAATAACAGGCACTAACTTTTGGTCACAATGTTTCTTAAGTGTGAAAGCATAATTAATATACAAGGCAGCTGGTGGTAAGCCAGGGAGGGTTGGACAAAGGGGGAGGCGGAGGAAAATGCTGATGCTATGTTCCAGGAACTGTGTTTCGCTCAGATGTACTATCTCAGTTCTAACAATAGAAATGTAAGAATTCTCAGGGCAAGGGCAGTCACACTAACTCACTTAGTCATTCAGTGACCATACAGTGGCACACCCTCATGCCAGGCTGTCACTGTAACTGAGCACTTCACGCCAAGACCTCATTCACCCCTAGGAGAGGCCACGAAGGCTGCGGGGGTCACAGAGGTGGGCTCTGGAGTCACACCTGCCGGAGCAGGAGCCCATGCTCCGAGTCTCTACGCAGTTCTGTAATTCGAGCTCAGATTTGTCCGCAAAGCCCTGCCTCTTTCCACCTCATCGTGATCTTTCCCCGTCACTGCAGCGTGATCCGGGGGTAGGAGCGGCAGGAGTCAGAGTGGGCAGACTTGAGCAGGGCACAAAAGAAGGTGCAGATTCCATCTTTTTTGACCATCAGTAAACACCATCAACAGGCATGAAGCAAGAAGATGCTCGCCCATAGACTGAGAGCAGACTCCTAGGAAGGGTACTTTTCACTGTAAAAAGGGTGACTAGCAGGGGAATGGTCTCTACCAAGACCAAATTATCAGCTAAAACTTTATTATTAAATCAAAAAATTCCTAACTTCAGCCCTTTTGCACATAAGACAACACGTGTCTCGTCTCATTAAGCAAGGGGGCCGCAGCAGGACTGACATCACAAAAGTACCCTTCTTGCCACTGACTGAAGGGAAGGCGCGCGCTCGCTCTCCCTCCCTCCCTCCCTCCCTCTCTCTCTCTCTCTCTCAGTCATGCCTCCAAATGCAGAGACAATAGCAACTGTGAAAGACATCCGGAACCACAGCGGTGGACAGGAAGTCATAAATACACTTCCCCTCATTTACAAGGTTTGTTCAATAGAGGATACAGCCTATGCTGCAGCAGTAGCCTTTGGGTGTTAAACAAAGAGATGTTTATGCGAATAAAAACAGACAAGCTGGTCGGTGCCCGAGAGGAGGCGGCCTATCTGTTACCCAGCAATGAAAGCGCCCTTCACAGCCCGTGTGGCTGCACAGAGCACGGGACACAAGGGGTTTTAAGAAGCTGCAGCGTGGGTCCCCCGGGCTCCTGCTGAAAACAATGGTCACACAGGAAACGTGTGCCTCGGGGAAGCGAGACGCGGACATGGAGCACACGGCGGTCACGGCAGGAAGCGCAGGGTTACATTCTAGGTCCACCCACACGTTTCCAGTGGAAGGACCACCAGGAGGAAGTTGTGAAGACCACTGCATGCTGGGAAACTCACCTGAATGTTGACAAACACGCCATGGTAGGTCTCGTACAGAACTTTGTTCCCCTTCACGTGCAGAGGAAATTCAAAAGGAATTTCGGTTTTGCCGCTGGGGAACTTCCCCGGCTTCACCATCTCGATGGTGCTGTTGATAATCTGGATCGGCTGCAAAGAGAAGCCACTCAGTCCACCGCCGGGAACGTTCTGAGCCTCCCAGTCTCTGTGTCTCATCCCCTGAGGGACAGGGCCTGGCTCGTGATGTGAAACTCTAAGAGCTAATGTAGAAAACACGGGACGGTCCTGAATGGGAATGCGGTTAACGAGCCCCTCTTTCCTCTTACCTCTTCCCCCCTCAAATATGAAAGTTAATATGTCCTTCAGGAAAAGGAAACTATAAATACAGAAAAAGAGTTCACATTCTGGAATCTGGAATCCACCCTAAATGACAAAAAGAATGGCCACTGCTCTTCCAGCACGTCATATCCAGCAGCAGCCGTGCGCACAGGGACAGTGACAGTCCCACTGGAGGAGGGTGAGGGCAGGACCACCGCATACCTCCGAGGAGCGCTGGCCTTGGTCATGGCCGGCTCAGCCCTGACCGCTCTCCTGCTCCTCTCTGACAGGAATAAAGCAAGCCACTTCCAGTCAAGGACCTATTCAGAATCAGCGGACCTATTTTCCAGCTTGGTTAGTAAATATTAAAAGTGTGACTATCACTGCACCATTTGCAAAATACCGACAGACAACAAGTAAAAACCACCACAAACATGAGTACTGAACCGATGGCGTGCACCAGGCATTCCTACCTTCACGGAGTTGTAGAAAGCTTCGAACACACCCACGCTCTTGGCGCTGAGCTGGAGGTTCACGGTGCCTTCCACGGTCAGGGAGAGGCCCTGGTGCTGCACGGGGTCCTTCCCACTGATGACCACCACGCCCGAGAGCATCTCCTAGGAGAGGAGGCAGCCCCAGTCAAACGAGGAGGTCCCTTCAGCCACCTTGTTCATCAGCAAAAGCAGGCCTCTTTCACCAGCAATTTGTTCAAAGATGCAGACATTGACCAAGCACTTATTACAGATCAGACACCAGGAGGCCAGGAGAGAAGGAAGGGCCCTGAGTACGGGCCTGGGTCCAGGTGAGGTGGGGGTGGGTACTGATAATTACAGGGCAGGCTGGGCACCCAATCTCATCCCATCTCAGCCTTCCAGAAACATCTTCATTTCCGGCTGGGAGAGTCCCAACAAAGGTCTGAATTCAAAAGGGCAGAGAAGGGCCTGGGGCGAATGGCAGAGTCCCCCCACGTGAATGGCAGCGCTCTCTTCAGAAGGAATGCAATAAAATAAAACCCTTGTCTCGAGGTTCTCCCTCAAGGATGCTGACGAAAGTGACTGCACACTTCCACGTGCGAGAGTAATTTAACACAGCGTCAGCCCAGCCGGCCTCCCTGGAGAGACCTAGAGGTTATCTATACATCCCAGAAGGCAGCCGGCATTTTCACCGGAGAGCTTCCTGTCCCTCCACATCCGGTCATCTGGTGAATGTTCAAGGCCAAGGCCCCTGGTTCACAACCATTTCGCATCATCTCCATTTATCTGAAGATAACTACCAAGTAAGATAATACGAACATTCACTGCATTCTTCCATTCATGGCAGTTTCTTTCTGTCCATAGAACGTCACAGTTTCAATTTGCTCTGGGTGAGGTTGGGGGTATGAAGAGGAAAAGGAAGTTGAGGAGATGAAACAGCATCACCCAGAACAGAGATTCTACAATAAATACAAAACAATGCGTTTCTTAAATGACCTTCAGAAATGTAGCACGACTGACGCCAAACAGTAACATGACAGAAAGTTGACAATAAAACTAGAAAAAAAGAAAAGAAAAACAGCAAAAATGAAAAATGACCTGCAGATCAAAGCATTAAAAACCAACCTGTTCTACTGGTGTTTACATCTGTTTACCTTCTATTTCCTCTAGTCACTAGAGAAACAGCTTTCACCAAGTCCTCTCCTTGGGCGGAACTCTGGAGGCGGGCCTCAGTACTAAACGTGCTGGGTATGTGTCTTTCCCACTCCCCACCCCACAGCCCTGAAGTCTGAGTGAAAACAAACACTAGCATTTCCATTTTAAGCAGAATTCAAGGAGTACAGCTCTTAATGTTAAAAGCTCATGAGCAAATGTACATGAAAATTCCTCTGAAATAACTTTTACATTTAATTAAAATTAATTCTATTAAGTTTTGTATAACCCAAATCAAACAAATCTAACTTTCAAAAATTTAAAGCCACCAGTATATTTTTAAAAACACACTTCAGCCCTCGCCGGTTTGGCTCAGTAGATAGAGCATAGGCCTGAAGACTGAAGGGTCCCAGGTTCGCTTCCGGCTGAGGGCACATGTCTGGGTTGCAGGCTCGATCCCGGGTGGGAGGCGTGCAGGAGGCAGCCGATCGATGATTCTCTCTCATCATTGATGTTTCTATCTCTCTAATCCTCTCCCTTCCTCTTTGAAATCAATAAAAGTATATTTTAAAAAAACAACACACACTTCACTGGTATGTCCCAGAAATAAAATGAGACAAAATAATTTCATAAACGTTATTAAGTAAACAACACAACGGCACTTGAGGGAAGTTCTGCTTCTACTCAATCAGGACATTCTCAGGGAGCTTCCTGGGATGGGGACTGGGTTGGCTGCTGGCTGGCACTTGATAACCAGGACGCCAGGAGAACCTCCCCAACCTACTGCTCAACAAGGACAAGGCAGTGAAGTACCTTGGGAGCAAGAAGAATAAGTACTTCATGACCCAAGGGACTCTCTTGTCATTCTTTGATTTTAATTAAGAATATAGTGGAGAGAATACAAAATTAATAAAGTATTTGTAGATAAATTAGACATTCTAATAATATACAGGTCTATTCAACTCCTACCAACAAAAGGAAGATACAGAATTTGTCCAAGAATAGCCCAAGGAGCCAAGAATTTTAGAAACCTAAGATATTTCAACAAGTTAAGACTCACAGTAATGAGAAAACGACCTTTTTCTTTCTTTTTAATTGAGCTATAATTGATATATGGCATTGTGTTAGTCTTAGGTATACCATACAATTCTTGATTAGTCTTGGCAAAGGAGGACAGAATGAACTTGAATATTACATGAAATTGAATATAAATTAGGGGAAACCGGAACATCACGGAGAACCTCCCCGCAGACTTGTGTCTAGACCAGGGGTAGGCAAACTTTCTGACTCGAGGGCCACAATGGGTTCTTAAACTGGACCGGAGGGCCGGAACAAAAGCATGGATGGAGTGTTTGTGTGAACTAATATACATTCAAAGTAAACATCATTACATAAAAGGGTACGGTCTTTTTTTTTTTTAGTTTTATTCATTTCAAACGGGCCGGATCCGGCCCGCGGGCCGTAGTTTGCCCACGGCTGGTCTAGACTCTTGACAAGGAGGACACAGTGCCCATTCCTCCCCCAACATAGTAAGTGGAGGTTCTTCACCTGAGGGCCATGACTTCAAGAGAGGCCACTCAGACTTAAGGATGGCAATGAACCCCAGAAACTATGTACAAAGCCACAGGCAGGCGTGCGATGTTTTAGGAAGAAGAGCCATAGCGTTTGGCCTCTCAATCAAGGAGGCCCTTGACATGAAAAAGATTAAGAAACACGGATAAGAGAGATGCAGCCCCACACATGTGCACACACAAGACAAAGTAAGAGATCCCAGTGCTCTTGACTACGCATCTTGGCCCTGAAGAGGGCCTTGGCCTGTGCTATCGTCAGAGTGGGCCAGCACGCAGCCTGGGCTCCCACTGGCCTGTGAAACCTTACCCCTCTGCGAGGGGAGGCCTTCGAGGCAACCACACCATACAGAGCTTCTGCAAATCAATGTAAGTCTTTGTCCTGGGGGAGCCATGTCTAGAGAAAAGTCCCAACGGCCTTCTTCAACCACAGACCAAAAGATGAGGCTGGAACAGGGCATTCAGAGGCGACCGTCACCCCGCCGTCAGCCATGCTGGCTTCCTCAGCAGAAACCACGACCCTGAGGGTGGTAAAGGGAGACCTTTTCTAACTGTGTCTTCTCTAAATGTAAAAGGCCACTACCAACTACACAACTTTTTTCTTTCTTGTTCTTGGGAATTAAATACCAAACCCATAATTAGACTCTGGGTTTGAAGATGTTGACATCAACTCAGCATCTCCCCTGGCTTCCTGGAAATCATCCAACAGAGTAAGAAACAAAACCACAAACTCCATTTTTAACCAAGCAAAAAACCAGTTAAATACCATGAAATAGGTGGAAGAGCTACACAAAGAGTGACGACGGGGTGGTACACATGCAATAAGAAGCCGAAACAAGGCCATGGCTGTAGAAGTAGCTTCTGGAAGGTGAGGGCTCGCTGGGGAAACTGGTCAGGTTTTAAGGAGCAGAGGAGGCAGAGCCCAATGGAGAATCCTACAACTGTGCCCCGAGCAGGAAGCAGGAAGCCCTGTCTGCAGCAGTGGGAGGCACCGAGGCCTCTGCACTGTGAGAACCTCCCCAGCTGCTTGTCTCACAGGCAGGAGAAAAGTAGAGGTAGATTAAACAAAGTCACATAGAAAACCTCAGTTGGCTTGGTCTAGGAATACATTCATCTCCTACAAGAAGGTGACATTAAAAGAACCAGCAGAGCCCTGGACGGGTAGCTCATCTGGTTAGAGCGTCGTCTGGAGATGCCAAGGTTTCGGGTTGGATCCCCAGTCAGGGCACATACAAGAATCAACCAATGAATGCATAAGTGGAACAACAAATCAATGTGTCTGTCTGTCTGTCT